TTTTCCATTTAATTAATTTTGAAAAAAATAAATCTAAGCAAGAATATTCTGAACAGCAAATATTCTGAAATTTTAATTAAAAATAAATAGGATGAAATGATCAGTAAATATTTTTATAAGTAAGCTCTTATAAAACTTCTTCTATAAATTTTACTTTTAAACTGATTAAATGCAATACCTATACTAATATAAGCAAATAATTGTAGTTATTTAACTTTGTATTTAACTTACAAGTTTCCCTTACAAGTAAACATAGAAATTATTGTGGTTTTTTTCCATATCCTGAAAAGAATAATTTAAAGTAGGGCATTTACATTCGATGCATTTGCATATATTTATGTACACAATTCTTTTCTAATTTTTTCATTGTTTCTTAAAAATGTAATAACTAATATAGTGTGTATATGTTAAACTTCAATACGTGTAATTCGATTTTTAAAAAAGAAAATATAAAGAAAAAAATTCAAGTCAGAATTATTGGTAAGTACAAAATTTGAATAACTTTCCTATAAGAAAAAAAAAAAATAGAACTAAATACTATCAATTAAATATATTACAGCTCATATAACATGTTGTACGACTAATTAATGTGACCCACCAAGTGAGCATATTTAAACACATGTAAATTCAAATTCCCACAACTAAGTTTTCCTGGATTTACTGAATTACTATATGCAATCGTATAATGGTTCTGTACTTTGTACATCATAGCCCCCATACTTTAAAATGAGAATCACAAACTGAACTACTATGTATATAGTTAAAGTACAAACGTAAAATATTGCAATATATCATGTACTTATTACCAAATATGGCAGAATATAGCGTTTCAAATCCATAAAATTTACTTTTCTATTAGAAAATAAAATTCTTGGTTTTCATTGTTTATGCACATTTCATATGAACGCGGTAAATAAACTATGATCAACCTTATTATACTTACAAAATTTAGTTTAAACTTTTCAACAATTTCGTTTTATATGTTTAATATATGTAGATTCTTTCTAAAATCTTTTAAGGAAGCCTTCGTAAATTAATATAACAACTTCTGCAACAAAACACCATGTTGAAATAATTTAAAAAAAAAAAATAAAAAAAAATAACATGAAGTCAGCAATTAGACCAACACCTGCTATGATAAAAAGTACAATCTAAATTCTATACTCAATCCTTAATTTCAATTAATGCAATCAAAAAGAAAAAAAAAAGACGAAACGCCACAAAAAGTAATAAAAAAAAAAAGCAAACAAATAAAAATAATGTCGAGAATCAATCAACACGCTGCTACTAATAGAAAAGGATATTAAGTGGAAAATAGCGCCACAGGATAACCGACCTCTTATGTTGTTTTCTTTAGTTCTAGTTTGGGTTTTCTCTTCTGTTTTGTTTTGTAGTTTTTGATTTTTAAATTTTTTTCTGTATTTTTTCTTCCTATACCTATAAAACTAATTTCCTTTTTTTTTTAATTCAATACAATCTTTTGTTAACAATACAATAATATAAATATAATCCTTGTAAAGGATAAAAATTTCGAAGAATTTTTTTTTTTAGGTCGCATAAGCCATCACATATTTTATATGTAGAAGTTCACGTGTCTAAGCGATTGTGTTATATATGATTACATATACCCATAGCCAGTAATCAATGCAGTCGATCAATGCGATTTCTGTATGTATACATGCATAACTATATGAATTTGTAAGTAAAAAGGATAAAATGAGAGCATCATCACTTTATAAAAAAATTCTTATTTTCTTAATCATTCGTATACTTATTAGTTATTACAGAAAGAAAAAATTATAAACAGAAAGAACAAATAGAAAATGCAAGTACGAATATCTATTATATATACATATATATATATATATGTACATATAAGCACTTATTACATGTGTGGAACGTACTTTTTACTGAAATATTCAATTAACAGGGTAGGTTTTATTTGGCGTTTTTAGATTAGATTTCTTCTTGTAGTTGTGCAGTTACGAAAATTACGAGGACGAAATAGTTGATCAGTTACGAAATAACTTGTATTTATAATAAATATTGTGATGTTCCACCAACCACTTCACGATGATGATTGTATTCTCACTATATGAAATTTTGAGACACTGGTTTATTATGGATTTGGTATAAACAAAAATTATGTTCTGAATTTAACTAAAAGATTCTTGTGCAAGTTTATATTATGAACATTTAATTTTTTTAATATACCAATGAATTCTGTGCCTTACATTCAATAGCGAAGGAAATAAATCAGTTAACGAAGTAAATAAAATATAATCAACAACACGTACATAATATTCGCATGAATTCCTATTCCTTTTTTTGAAATTTCTGGAAAAAAAAACAGCTTGTATAGGAGTTTAAATCTCCTAATTCATATTATCTTCAAAATCTATTATGTGTAACCAGTAAACTGAATTATGATACGGTCCTGTTTATAATTAATATTACTTAACCTCTAATATTCTAACATTATTACACGAAACTTTAAATCAATAAACCAAAGTATAAGTGCGTCGTTTTTAACAGAAATTCCTGTTCAAGGATTATTTTTAACATTTTTTTTTTATTTTTTTTTATGCGAATAGAACCGTAAGCAAACAATAAACAAGTAGGTTACACAACTTCTTTAATTTTTTTTGATCTTGTAGAAGAACTAGGGTATGATAATAATGATAACAATAATAATAGTAATGATGACATTCTATTACAAAAATTTTAACATTACTTACCTGTCTATTTTTCTTATTTTTATTGTATAGTTACATGCACACATAAACATACATCAAGAAATACCTACTTAAATATAGTAAGTGCTTAATATAAATGATTTTTTCTATTTCTATTGAATTTTTAGTATAGGTACCAAGTATGTTATTTGTTTGATGTTTTGTTGTTGGTATTCTGATACTGGCTGTTGTTGTTTTTTGTATATGGTAGGTAAGTTAAGGTGTTTTGTAAACTGTACAAGCTTATTTACACAGGATTTCAGGACACAATAGAAAAAAAAAAATATTTCGAAAATTAACAAAAACAAGACAAAAGACATAAAGAACAAAAAAAAAGAAAGACAATCATCAGTGGGAACTAAAGAACATTTTATATGTCTTTTCTATATAAATTTCATTTTAGTTATCTTAGATATACATACATATGTATTTGTTGTCTATTGAAAGAAATCCTTGCGATTTTTCTATATACATATGAGAAAATAAAAGAATTCAAAAATTTTGTTGTCTTCCTTTACATTTAAAATATATTGTTGAAATAAATAATAGGAAAATATTATTTTCAAGGTAGCATTGATGTATGTATATGTATACATATGTATATATTGTATATATACTGTACACTTATAATATTATAATTATATTGTCGGTTTTATATTGTGTATTTGCGTGAAAATTTTTTCAAAATGAATAGGATAAAATGAAAAGATTGACAAATTAATGGTTTAATGTTAAAGTACCACTTGACATACTTACATGCATTGAAAATTTCATTTTCAACTAACAAATTTTGAATATGGATAATAAATGTCTCATTTCCTCTACTTATAAAATAAAATTAATTCCAAAAGTACTTGAAATGTTTTTGGAAATGATAAGATATAAATTTAGTAAAATTTTGTACATAAGAGAAATCAAGTGATTTAAATAGTTCGTAAATTTGAAAATTGGAATTACTTATAGTTCTTTTATTTGAACAAGTAAAATTAATTTCATTTATAAAAGGTAAACAATTACTTAAGTATTTAGATTATCTTTAAACTAATCCAATTCAGCAATATTCCTTAGGTACCTAATTGTACCTAAGTAATTATACATTTTTTTTAAACTCAAATATTGTTTTTATAAATTCGTTACAAAATTGCTGAGACTGGGAAGTTATATGATGTTATACTTATTAAAATGTGATCGGAAGAGCCAACACAAGCACTTTATTCGAAATTCATTGCAGTATTAAGAAAATATTTGAACGCATTATGCAAGTTTTTAAATCATATAGAATCGCGACCGTGGAATTCATAAAATTTGATTTTTATCGAAATATATTCGCCAAAAACATACTTTCGAAATGCAAAAAAAAAGAATTACAAAGATAAAGTCCCAACAGATATACAAAATTTCAAAGCACATTATCACAATCTATTAATTAAATTTTTATACATCGTAAGCTTTTAGTTTTAACAATCGATAATGGAAATACTACTTACTACGAAATTAATTTAAAAAGAAATCGAAAGTCGAAACTATACTTTTGGAAATATCAACAAATACAATAAATGCTAGAATTACTTATTTGATTTAAATTAAATTTACATTACTTAAAATAATAAACAGAAATAAAAAGGAATATCTAATAGGTGTTTGACCGCATAATTTAGTATGTATTTATTATTTAATAAGTCTAATCATATTATGTATGTATATTGTAATTTAAGCATGTATGCAAGGAAGTGAGATTATACTCATATTCTTAATTATTATGTGTTTACAATTTTAATTTGAAGAAGTTGCTAAGTGAATTTTCAAGCAAATCCTACCATGTCCAACATATTAAATGGACTACTTTCACAAATTTTAGAAAACATTCTGCTTAACACAAAATTTAAATTCAATAATTGCTAAAGGACATACTTAAATAACACCTTCTTATATACAAGCTTATATACAAGCTACAGGCATGTATAAATACATATATGTAGGTATATATATATTTAACCAGTATATCATGTGTCATTAAGAAATTATAATAAAATTCTCATTAAGAGTACTTATTGACACAAAACTAGAAGAGTACCACAACTACATATATGTGCAAACATATTTTGTTTCAACAAATACTCAAACACTTTTATGTATTAATTTATGAATGTACCCATAAAATTGTATTCAGTAATTTTTTAATATAATTTTCAACTAGAATGTAAATAAATTTCAATAAATTAACAAATCATTTCATTAAAAAATTTTATTGTTTAAAAAACTTACCTAATCCAAATGATGTTCCAACTTTACCACTTACATTTAAAAATTTAAAATTATATTGAAATTTATTATTATCGAAGTCTAAGTAATTATTAATATTTTGTTGATTTAAATAATTTTTATCATTTTTGTTCTTTTTATTATTATTGATGTTACCATCAAAATTATTAATAAATCTTGAATAATTTTCATTATCATTAGAATTTTTATTATTTGGCACTTTAACACCTTTTCCATTACTATTAAAATTTAAATTTTTAGATGTATTCTTTTGATTAATTTTAACACTACTAATTTTTTTATTATAATCTAAATTTATATTATCATCATTATTATTACTTTCATCATTTTCTGTTTGTCCTATTTTATTAACGGTTTCTGTTCTTTTCTTACCAATACCAGTATTAATTTTTAAATCATCATTATTATCAATTTGAATTTCTTTTGATTTTGCATCAGCTTTTAATTTAATATTATCTAATAATGATAAATTTTCATTTATTTTTACCGAATCAGATTGAAAATTTCGATTATCATTATTTAATTGATGATTATTTAAATGTGTTTTTAAAAGAGCTGACGATGATTCCGTTTCATGTGAATTTGATATTGGTATTGTTGGTATACCTGATACGAGTACAAAATTAATTGATGAACTGTATATTATATTAAATATTAAAAATATACATAAAAATTTTAATAAATTATTAATATTAATGTATTTGTAAAAATATAATTTATTAATTTTATTATAATTATTATTTAAAATATTATTTAAATTGTTAACATAATAATTAAATTTTTTTAATGATATAAATTTAAGAGGATAATATTTTTGTTGAAAATTTTCTTGATTATTTTTCAATGTTAAATTACATTTTTTGCCTTTTGGCAAAATAGAAACATTCACCATATTCTTATTTAACAATAAGTATTATTTTAATCTTTTCTTTTACCAATTTAAATAAATATAAATTTTGTTTTTTTTTTTTATTATTTCAGTATTCAATGACAAATATTTTAAAACACAATTTTTGGATTATTATTTTTCATTAAATATTTTAATAAACAAAATTATAAACTTTACACAATCACTTTATAAATTAACAATAATTTTCTGAAATTAAAATAATTAATTATAGGTATTACATTTAAATATGTAATGTGTAAAAACAATTATATGTGACTCTTGTAAAGAAAACCAATTAATAATACGAAATAATGCCAATATTATTCAATAAAAAAAACTTTTTGCTCTTAATTTCTTTAGCATTGGCTTTGATAACATTGTTTTGTAGCGTTATTTCCGAAAAGCAAAAAAAAAACATACAAACAATATAAAAATATAATAACAGTTTCTGGCCACTTCAATACTATCACAATAATTAGTATATGCATTAAATTTTTATACGTATATCCACTAATACTATTGATGATATGGTGAAGAATTGAAGATGCTGCTTTTGTCCTATCTGTGTAGTTGTTTGATCTTGTTTTTAATTAATATTATGCTGTTTATATTCTCTTAAATATTTTTACTAAAAACTAAAAACTAAAGCTATAACGAAACGATATGCATATTTTTGTTATTCTGGTTGTTTACATACACACATACTTGAATTACTATATAGTAATTTACGCTCTTGCTTTAAAAAAAAGTTTAATATGCTATTTGCAATTTATATTTCTCATCAAATGATGTTAATATATGAGTAGAGTAGCTATATATCCATGTACATATATATGTAGTACATATATATATATATATAATTGTGTTGTAAAATATATCTACACATTGTGTTTGTGTATGACAAACACCTTGAAAATTTTTTTAAACTATACACAAAACAGCAAAAATAGCAAAGAAACTATAAAAGCGAAAAACTAAAAAAACAAACATAAAACAAAAAAAAAACGATAAAAATTAAATATCGTTCGATATTTTTAACCAATAGCAATAAAAGCACGTGGTTTTTTTGTCAGTGTATCAAAAATTTTAACACGAATACTTATAATCGAACACATAACACACAATATGATATACAAAAAAGAAATATCAAAAATATAAACAATTTTTTTTTTTCTAAAACAAAATAAAGTAAAACATAAAATATAAGAAATTTTTTTAACGCCAAAAAGAAAAAAAAAATTGAAGAAATGCAAGGTGTACTGAAAATTGTAACACGGCATGCACGTTATCAGTTTCAATTTTTATTATATTAAAAATATATCCATTTGATAACCATTTGTTTCTGAATGTCTGCAAACCTTCTCAAATTTGTGAGATATCTGCAAATTTGTGACTAATATGTACATAGGTATAAAATATTGCAAGTTTGATTACGATTTAATTATTTGAATTAATGATGATTATTAATTTTGTGATAAAATTTCATCTATAGAAAAAAAATCACAATCTCCGCTCAGACCAAAATTTAAATGGTAAATTCTCCAAACGCAAATCTATAAGTCAGCAAAATTTGGTTCAAGTCGAATTCAACTTTTAAATAAGTAGTTCAAGTTGATTATTTTTAAAGTTGGATTAAGTTTATAAAAATGTTACTAACATTTTAAAGCACAATTTCTCAGTTAAATAAAAAATTAAACTAAAATTAAATTAAAGGAAACTAGAAAATCTGTTTATTGGTCTCTTTGAAATTTTTTCAAGAACAGCTAAATATTTTTAATTCCATTTATTTTAAACTAATACAGATTATAAAAACAACCTAAGATAGATTGCTTTTTTCTATTGTATTGCTACAAATTTTATATCGATATTTTTCGATCAGCATGTACATTTTAACCTAATGTAAGAAAGTTGAAAAAAAAAAAACATCAAAAGGTTTAAATACTAAAGTATATTTTACCTCTTTAAAAGAGAAAACAAAATTCGCAATTTTTTTTAAGGGGCACACATAAGTATGTATGTACATATGTAAGTAGATTTGTATGCATGTATACATACATTCGATATGTTCATAACATGTTTATAAAACATGTAATATGAAATGATTATGGATTTTTATATTGTTGTAAAACACCTTATAACCTATTAAGTCAAAATTTAGCACCTAAGTATCATTTTGTGTGAGTTCACAAAAACTAAAATATGTACACACATGCATGCATATAAAAATTAAAGTTTAAATGCCTACATAAAATTCTCTCTTTAAATAAAAATCTCAAAAGAGCAAATTTCATAAACACAAGTACATTTTATTTTAGTCAATACAATATAATAATTACATACATATATATGTATGTGTGCATGTAAATATGGATATTTGAGTATGTATATATAATTATGATAAAAAATTATTTTCACGGTTATTTCATATGCACAGGTAAGCATTTACTGAATTTATTATTTAAATATAAGAATAAAGTATATTAACCAAATACATACATACATACATCCCTACGTACAACAAGATCGGAAATTCGGAACTCGGAAGGCATTTAAATTTAATACAAGAAAAAAGAGTACATACATAGGTGTATGTATGTACTTATATAACCAAAGAGAATAAGTAATTCATATAAAAATAATCAAGTACACCTAAATCCACATGGCCACATACATACATATAAACATATTTATGTACATAATGAATAAATAAAACTTATATTAAAGTGTATACATACATACATATAAATATATGTATATATGTATAAGCATAAATTTCATGTTAACATTTTATTTACATTTTTATAACTCGCAATTTTTATTCATAATATTCGATAATAAATGATGTGAAAAGGTAACATGAAAATAAAAAACAAAAAAAAAGGTAAGGCAAAAAAACATGTGAACTTATTTTTGTTGTTATTGTTTGTATTTGTAGAAATTATTTTAAAAATATTTTGTTACTCATTTCAAAACTAAAACATACAAGCATAGGTATAAAACATGAGGTTACTGTATTAAGAGCCAACGTTATGTTGTGGTTTTATTTTTTTTTGCCACAATTAAAACAAAAAAGCAAAACAAACATATTATGTCATAAGCGTTTCATATTGTATTTATTGTTAACGTTTGGTGCTGCTGTTGATATAATATGTAAGTAATTATTTTAGTTTGCGTAGGCAACAGCATTTCCAACTTATTAAAAAAATAAAAACATGCTTAACTACTCTAATGTGGTAAAAATGTATGTACATACATATACATACATGTATGCAGTTATGAGTAAATATATTTTACAGCTTTGTAAATGCTTGCAATTAGCAGAGTTACTCCAAACGAATATGAATCAATGTATTAAGGTACCCAACGTATCTTATTTAAATTTACATTAAGATATACATAATATGATTTTCTATTTACTATAGATATGATATGATTGTATCTACTTTGAAAAATTGTAAAGTCATAATGTAAATTGTACATAATGTACATATTTACATGTGTATAAGTATTTATGTATGTATAAATAGTTTAACAATACAATATCGCACATTAAAGGCAAATTTTTCCCGGGAAATTAATTGACTTCGAATTATAATAAAATTTTAAAATACCGCCACTATGTAAGTTTAATTACGTTAAAATAAATTTATGGGATAAAACTAAACTAAGTACTTATTAGTTCTCTGTGGTTATGAAAATAAAAAAAATTTAAAATAAATTTTTTGGGGCAAAATATACTTAATTCTAGAAAATCTTAATTTTTCGCACATAACTGAAATTTGTTATTCTGGATTTAATTTAATTAATTTTAACATAAGTAATTACCTGCCGAAAAGAAAAGTATCACATAAATTGAAAGCTTAAAACAAAGCTGTACAACTCAACAAGCATATGTATCAAATTTTTAAATTTATAATTACTTGCATGCAAGGATCAAACAAATTTAATATACATAATTCAAATTACATGTTAACTATTGAACTATTAAAAATGCATTATGATATTATTAAAAATTCATGTAATAAGCAGTTACTATGTAGTAATTATGTATTCAAATTGTGTTGGCTTCACTCATTGAAAATATGTAATTTCTAGTTAGATTCAATTGTTTTCAACTGTTACCAGTCTTACACTTTTTACATTTTATTGTGTTTAGTTGTATTTTTTTCAAAATTTATAAGTAGCGAATATTATTCGGGAACTTGGACAACTTGCCAATTAATTTTTTGATATTCGCGAGGGTAATACCTATAAACACAAAATTTTTTTTTGTTTTGCGAAAATTTTTTTTCAGTAAGTAGTAAATGAGTTTAACTCTTCAACTAATATTTTACCCAATTTTAAATGTTGCTTTTAATTTTACATTGTTTACTTAGGAGTTTGATATATGTATATAAGAGGCTGATGACATGAGTAATCTGTTTAAAATTATATGCACCTGGGTATAAATATTTAATTTGTAAAATAACTATAGATTTATGCTTTTACAAATATATACTTATTTTAAATGCCTTGATTATTTAAATTGTAAAATAACTAATGAATTTTATTATTGATGCATTTTATACATTAAGCATGGGAAATTGTGAATACATAATGAACAAATCAATGAGGATGTAAACTTAAGTAATACATAATATGATAAACTATATGTATCATAATATATATATATGAAATATATTCATATGTATATAAAAATATTAAAGAGTAAAAGTAAAAATCGGTTTTAATTGTGTGCCATTTTTATCAGTTTCTAAATTAAAATTAAAAATACTTGCAAGATTTATACATATTAGAATTTGTTAAAAAAATTGGGAGTTAACATACTCTTAATTATACTCCCTTTGATAAAATTATAATTATAATGTTTAAATATACTTTAGAAATATAATTTACACGAACACGTTTATATAATTAATTGCTCACGTTTTAAATCTAATAAATTCAGTGCCATATAAAAATATGGTAACTCTCTAATTTTTTAAATTGAGTATAGCTTGAAAATTATATGTAGGTGTGAATATTTAAAATATTTAGTTATAAGTAATTTTGCAAATCTTATAAACAAATTACTCACCCAATAAATTTTAGTTAACTATGTATTTAAGCTCATATTTATTTAATGATTGTAAACAAAATTTTAATTTAAAAATCATCGTCATAAAATTACTCTTAAATTATATGGCGTGATGTTAAACGTAATTATA